TATATATAATTATATATGTCATATACACGTATAATATAAACATATTATAAAGATATTATATGTATAATATGTGTGTTTTTTGAGCAGGAGTCTCTCTTTTGTTCCTTAGTCTGGAATGTAATGGCACAATCTTGACTCACTGAAACCTCCACCTCCCGGGTCCAAGTGAGTCTCCTGTCTCAGCCTCCCAAAGTGTTGGGGTTATAGGTGTGAGCCACTGCCCCCCGGATATATATATATATATATAGAATTAGCCAAATGTGGCGCTGTGCACCCCTAGTCCCACCTACTTGGGAGGCTGAGGTGAGAGGATCGATTGGGCCCAGGAGTTCAAGGCTGCCGTGAGACCTGATTGCACGACTGCACTCCAGCCTGGGCGACCGAGCAAGACCCTGTCTCAAAACAAAACAGGAATTACGGTTAAGGACTGAGAGACCAGATACCCGCAAAGCTCTGGACGCAAAGGTCGTGTGAGTTTTCAGAGCACTGGCATTTCTGTCCCCACTGTAAATGTAGGGTGCGTTGGAACAAACTGCTAAGTGAAAGAATGAATTAGACATTACAGCAGGTAAGCAGGAAGGGCCTCCCTTGGAATTTCAAAGCCCCAGTTGACTTTTTTCTCTTTTTTTTGAGACAGAGTTTCGCTCTTGTTGCCCAGGCTGGAGTGCAATGGCGCACTCTTGGCTCACACTGGAATCTCCACCTCCCGGGTTCAAGCGATACTCCTGCCTCAGCCTCCTGAGTAGCTGGGATTACAGGCATGTGCCACCATTCCCGGCTAATTTTGTATTTTTAGTAGAGATGGGGTTTCTCCATGTTGGTCAGGCTGGTCTTGAACCCCCAAGCTCAGGTGACTCACCTGCCTCGGCCTCCCACAGTGCTGGGATTACAGGCATGAGCCACCTCGCTCAGCCTTCTTCCTGGTTGAGTTTTGACTCAGTAGTCCCTCTGAAAGAATGGGGGCTGGTCCTCTCCCATAACCCTCACAGGGTGGCCAAGTGCCAAAGGGGTGAGAGATCAATTCAGTTTTTTGCATTTTCTACCACGTCTCTTTATGCAGATAAAATATAAACATTGGTTCTTGCGTCTCCTTTCCTACATAAAAGGCTCCCTGGTACCCTGTTCATCTTTCAGGTTTTCCTTTGCCATCTTTCTAAATCCGTACCCACACCCTCCCCCTCTGTCAGTCTCTCAGTGTAGTTACAAATACAGGCTGTTGCCTGAATGAACATTTAGTAACTAACATATTACGGTTTTGGTCCTCACCGTCCACAGCTGAGCCATGTAGAGTACTAGGATCGTATTTCCTTTCCTGCAGAACTCGGCTTTTCCAGGAGTTGCCAGTGGCCAGAGAAAAATTCTTCCCACACTCCCCAACAAAATATTAAACCAACCCAATAGGAACACATATTAGGTCGACTCTGATCTGGAGGGGCTGCCCTCCATGCCCCGGGTCCTTTTGTCTAGCTGTCTTCCACAGCCCTCCTCACTCTCATTTAGAGAATCTCTGTTCTCTTTCAGCTGTGTTGGATCACATTTCCTGAATCCCACACCATCCTTTTTTTATTTGCCTCCTCGTTTGAGTGGAACACATCCTCCAGTAGCTTCTGAGAACGTGTACGTGGGAAGTCAAGTTTCGGAGTCCTCGAACA